AAATATTTAAGTTAAATTACAAAGTAAAAAGAGAGATAGCCAAACAATATGTTTCCAGTTTCCATTTAAACTAAAAGTGCATATTTAAATATCCTGAGCACTCATTCCCAGAAAAAAAATATGTAGAAGCAAATAAATCAAATTGTTAGTAGGATTTACATTTAGGAAATGGTAGTTAGAGGTCATTTTTACTTTCTTCTTTGTATTTACTTACAGTGCATAACTTTATATTATGAATATAATTATTTTTATAATACAAGCAAAATAACAGTTTCAGAATATATACTGGCTTACTGACCACCTGACCCTGAGCCCTGTGACAAGCTTTTCCCAGAGGTGACAGCGTCCACAGGCAGGTCTGAAAGGAGGGAGCTGTCGGGCAGGGTCTGGGTTACTCACCATCTTCCTCTGCTTACAGAGTCTCAAAGGAAAGGAACTCTGTCTGAGTGGGAAGCTTGGTCTCAGCTGTGGCACGGTGAAGGTGGAGAACACAGGAGATATGGCCCCAGTCTAGTGCCATCACTGCCTACCTGAAAAGCTTGGGCGAGCCACGTGCCTTCTCAGGCCATTTTATTATTCATCTTTGAAAGGAGGATGAAGAGCTCAAAGGCCCCTCAAGACTGTGTGGCCCTACTACCCTTCCCGTCCTGAAGTTCCCAAGGAAACGGATGTTTCTGTCCCTAAACCAGAATAGAGGAGAAACCAGCAGATCCTCAGAGACCAGGGGAAAGGGGCTCTGGTGAGGATCAGCCAAGCGACTATGAAGAGCCGATGGAGTGAAGGGCCTGTGCGGGGGGGGGGGGGGGGGTGGCATCTCCCTGGCTGTGGCTGGTGGCCACTCCCACCTGGATATGGCCCTCAGACACTCTGCAGGGAGCTGCTTCCTCCCTCCCCTAGACCTTGGGGCTAGACTCTCCACATTCCCCCTTTCTTCCATCTCAGGTCCACATGAGATTTTGATGTACAGGAAAAGGTGATCACTAAATCACTGATCGTCCCTCACAAAGCTGCTAAAAATCATTAATCACCACAGGAATCTTTGCAATGACCAAATTTGGTTACTGTCTTCTAGTTGAAAGATGAGGAGAAATTCACTTCATGCAGAAACAAGTTTTATATAAGGGAGAGGAGTGAGACCAGTACCAGACTTTTCTCATTGACAAAAATTAAATCCAGATATCATTTAATATCTATAGACCATGTATTAATTATCTATTGCTGCATAACAAGTGACCACAAACTTAGTGGCCTTAAACAACACACACTTATTATCTCAGAGTTTCTGGGGGTCAGGTATCTGGGCATGGCCTACCTGGATCTTCTGTTTCAGAATCTCTCATGAGGCTATAATCAAGGTATCAGCCAGAGTTCTGGCCTCATCTGAAGGCTCAACTGGGGAAGGATCTGCTTCCAAGCTCACTTGTGGTTGTTCACAGGATTCTGTTCCTTTTGGGATGTTGGACTGAAAACCTTAGCTTCTCACTGACTGATAATCAGAGTCCACCCTTAGTTTCTTGCTATATGGGCCTCCCCAACATGGCATGTTGCTTCGCCAAAGCCAACAAGGGAAAGAGCCTGTCACCAAGAGAGAAACTGCAATCTCTTGTAATCTAACCTCTCAACCTCTCAATATTAAGGCTAGAAGCAAGTTACTCAAATGAAGGGGATTACACAAGTTTATGAACACTAGGAGGCAGGGATCACTGAAGGTAATCATAGAAGTTACTTCCCATAGACCACTGAGAGATAAGGACTCCAATGCAAAGATCTTATACACCCTACCAAGATACCATTCCTCAGTCAAGGCAAAAGAATGATAGTTTCAGACATGAAATAATTTGAAGAACAGTCCACCAATTAAGTAAAACACTCAGAGATGTATTCCAAATAAATGCATATAACATCAAAAGAGAGCAAAACAATGGTTAGCAATGACTGTTGTGGTGAAATACACATCCTCGGGCACATGCTCATATAGCTTAAGTTAAATTATGATAGATGAAGTCACTGGAGAATTTTAATAAAAATATTAAATGAGATTTCCAGAAAAATATAGTCTTCAAATAAATAGCTTAAATTGTTCTAGAAACATTGAAAAGCAATACTGTTCATCTTGCTGAGGCAAATCTGGAGAATAAAGCATTTTTTTACACAAAGAAAGATTCAGCTATATTCTGATCAAATAGTAGAGAAAACAAATTAAATCATGCCTGTTCAAAATAGAAAAGTAAATAATGGAAAAATTAGTAAAGATAAAAATGTCCATACTTTTAGTAAAAGAGAAGAGACAAAAATAAACAGAAACTTGATGAAACCATTAGGAAGAAGAAAGAAAAAAGTTATTTTTAGAAAAAGCAAAATCAATAATAAGCATAACATAATACAAAAAGATAAAGTTATCATAATTACACAAATTTAAATGGACTGCATCTCAAAACACAAATATAGAATTAGGGTAAAAAATACATACTTATAAACAGTTACAAGAAACATATCTTAGTCAAAGAGAAAAATGAAAATAAAGGTTTCGGTTAAGATACACCTAGTAAGTGGCAGCAAAATAAAAGCAGCAGTAATCTATCTATCAAAGTAAAATTCAAGGTCAAAAGCACCCAACAAACAAAATTTTAAAAAATACATAATGGCACTATACAAAATGACCTAAGATATACACTTTAGGATTCTCCTCACCCCCCCAAAAAAAACACAGAACCACAAGGAGAAATTTGTTTAAAAATATTACAGTGGATTTATTCTACCTTTTGATAATAGAACAGCTAAAGTAGACAGAAAGACAAAAAATAAGAAGTAAAAAAATCTTAATCATCAAACTAGAGCAGAAAGTTCTGAGTAGTCTATACCTAACAAACAGAAAATATAGTTTATTCTCTTATATCTATGAAAGTTTTACAAAAATTTAACTGAGTACCCAGGCCACAGAAGAAATATTGAGTAATGTTTACAAGTCCAAATTCAACAAGCTACATTCTCCGATCATAGTAAAAAACATAATTACATAACAAGAAAGAAAAGTCAACAAAACTACCTTTACCAGTAAGGCCTAAGAAACTTTCCTCAGTACCTAGGATCAAAGTGAGAAGTCAATTCAGTAATTGCACCATTCATACCAGAGTGTTTGTGACACAAATACATAGAGAGGAAAGTGTATAGCCTCAAATCATTTACTATATTAAAAAAAAAAAAAAGACTGGAAACCCAAAAATACTTGACTCAGAAAATGAGAAAAAGAACAACAAAATTAATCAAAAACATGGAAATAAAAACACAAAACAAAAAATTAATACATGGTAAATAATAAAAATAAAAGCTTTTTATTTCCCACCCCACCCCACCCCCAATATAAAATCTTTAAAAAAAATTTTTTTGAGTTGGGGTCTCACTCTGTCGCCCAGGCTGGAATGCAGTGGCATGATCATGGCTCACCGCAGCCTCAGTTTCCTGTGCTCAGGTGATCCTTCCACCTCAGCATCCTGAGTAGCTGGGACTACATGCCCAACTAATTTTTGTATTTTTTGTAGAGACAAGGTTTCGCTATGTGGCCCAAGCTGGTCTCAAACTCCTGGGCTCAAGTGATTCTCTCACCTCGGCCTCCTAAAGTGCTGGGATTATGGGTATGAGCCTCCGTGCCCAGACAAAAATAAAAGTTTAAATAAATAAAATAAATATATAAAATTAGAAAGTATAAATAAAATAGAAAGTTGGTCTGGGAAATCTGATCAGATTGAAAATAAATTTTAAAATATAACTTTAGTAATAAGAAGAGAGATATTGCACCAGATAGTAATATAAACTAGTTATAGTAGAATATGAACTATAAGTCCAGAGCAACACACTTAAACGTTTAGGGGAAATATATGAGTTCCTGAGAAAAGAGTAATCATGAAAATTGATGAAAAAATTCATAAGGGACCAATTAACACAGAAAAAAAAAAATAAAAGTAGGGGAAAGTAGTTCAAGTCTATCATTTGAGACGTACCAGCACCCACTGGCAGTGCTACCAGACGCACCTTCAGTGGCACAGGAAGCCTGGCTTGAGGCTGGCAAAGGCAGATGTGGCAGAGGTCCCAGTCCTCTTCTGGCAACCCTATGGGTGTGAAATAAGTATGACAGGAGGAGTATTCAGTGGCTAGGGCAGACACAGAGCAGGGTGGCAGAGGAGGGGCCAGGACATGATGGGCAAGACAGACTAGGACTAAATTGGCAGGGGCCAAGGCTGACAGACAGGCAGGACAGAAAAAACTGTACCACTTTGAATTCTCCTCGATGTCCCAAAGTAAAATCATCCAGGAGGACCATCCCACGCCCACTTACCTCCAATCTCCCCAGGGGGTATCTAAAAGGGAAGACTGCACCATCTCAACATTTTTCCAACATCTCTGGCTTGGGGAATATTAACAATTACACAGAAGCTGGCAATTGACTGTGCAATAATCAGGTATCAACTGCACAGCTGATGGCCCAGATGGTGATCTGTGGGGAACAGGGATGATCGGCTTTCCTAACAGAGAACCCGCTGAGCACTGAGTCATTTCACAACCATCCCTGCATGTGCACTGCAGCCCCTCCTAAGTATAGCTGCACCATCACCCACCACTATTGGGGGTTGAAATTGGGTTTGCAGCCAGAGAGACAGATTCAGGGAGCATTGGGAAATATAAAAAACTCTTGCTGTTCCAAAATTAATTAAGAAAACTCTGGACAGTGGACAGGAGAGCAAGGCAGACACCCTGGCCTCAGCCAGATTCAGGGAAGAAAGAGGCAGGGATGGAGGAATGAATGGGGAAAGGGAAAATTTTTAGACATCCCCCCCTAAAAAGAGAGGTAGAAAGAGAGACAGGAGACCAAATGGTGGCCAGAGAAGCACAGAGAGAAAAGCTAAGATGCCCTGAGAAAAATGTGAATGAAGCAACAGCTGTGTGGTTCGCAGGTTGTCAACCTTGTACAGGGGATGGACTACAGGACCTAGGCTGAGCAGGGCTCAGCTGTCTTCCTTGGAGCGCAGGTCAGCGGTGAGCGGATCATGCTGGATTGTCTGGTGAAGCATCAGTGCCAGCAGCCCTGCCCGGTTCGTCATAGCCGTGCGCACCTTGCGCTCCTGCTCTAACAGCTCTTCCAGCTTGTGCAACTGTGGGAGGTGAGCATGAGAGCAGGAGTCCAGGGTGCTACCCTGTCCCCCCCACCCTCCTCAGCATGGCACCTACCGCCCGCAAGCGTTCGAGGTCCACCTCGGCACGCCTCAGCTTCTCCCAGCAGTAGTGGCTGTTGCACAGCCGTTTGGGGAGGCGACAGAAATTACCCGTGAACTCAAAGACATTGTGCACTAGCGGGCAACCGCACACCTCATCATTTGATACCTGTGTGGAAGAATTAAGGAGGATAAGCTCTGAAGGAGGGTGGCCTGGGGGATGATCAGGCAGGTACAATGAGAACCATGGGGGGATGGAGGGCAGGGAGGAGAGGGATGGGGGTGATCAGGCAAAGAAAAGAGAGGAACTCAGAGAAGAAGGGACAAATAGGGGATGACCAGGCACGAAGGATAGGGGAATGAGGTTGACCAAACAGGAATGAAGGAAGGGAAGTGATCAGGCAGGGAGAACAGAAGAATAGAGAGAGAACAAACGGGGAGGTAGGACTGAAGGGGAGGTGGGCCCAGGGGAGCTGGAGGGGCGGAAAGCAATCAGTACGGAGAGGGAAGAGCTGAGGAGAGGTTCAGTGGGGAGGTAGATGAGTGGGGCTTGTTGAGGCAGGGAGGAGGTAAGGACTGAGACGGGGGGGGGGGGGGGGGAAGGGGATGGAGGGAATGGGGCTTTTTAAATAAATAGGATAAAAGGATGGAGGAGAGTACAGAGAAAAGTTAATTGAGGGCAATGAGAATGATAAGAATGGAGAAAGAGCCGGGTACGGTGGCCCAGCCTGGAATCCCAGCACTTTGGGAGGCTGAGGCAAGAGGACTGTCTGAGCCTGGGGATTTGAGATCAGCCTGGGCAACTCGGTGAGACCTTGTCTCTACAACGAATCACAAAAACTAGCCGGGCATGTTGGCGTGCATCTGTAGTTCCATATACTTGAAAGGCTGAGGAAGAAGGATCATCTAAGCCTAGCAGGTAGGGCTGCAGTGACCGTGAATGGTCTGCTGCACTCTAGCCTGGGTGATAAGAGTGAGACTCCAGTTCAAAAAGAAAAGAAAAGAAAAGTTAGAAAGTAAGGAAAAGAGAAATTGAAGGGAAGGATGGGAGAGAAGTAGGGTGGTCAGGGAGGGGATGGGACAGGAAGGGAGATGATCACACAAAGAGAGGAGAAGAATGGGGGATGCTTTTGCAGTAAGGATGGATGGGACCACCCTGGGAAAGTGGTTGGGCAAGGAGGATATTATAAGTCAAAAATAAGGCCGGGCTCGGTGGCTCAGCCTGTAATCCCGCGCTTTGGGAGGCTGAAGTGAGTGGATTGCCTGAGCCCGCAGGTTCAAGACCCGCCTGGGCAACTTGGCGAGGCCTCATCTCTACAATAAATAAAAAAATCAGCCGGGCGTGGTAGCACGCGCCTGTAGTTCCAGTTACTTGGAAGGCTGAGGCGGAAGGATCGCTGGAGGCCAGCAGGTCGAGGCTGTGGTGGCTGGGAGTGGCCACAGCACTCCAGTCTGGGCGACAGAGTGAGACTCCAACTCAAAAAAAAAAAAAACCAACAAATAAGTCAAAAATAAAATCCTAAGCCCCCCAACTGACCAAGGGGATTCCAAAGAAACCTGAAAAACTAAATTCCTAGCCATGACAGGAAAGGAGGTCAGAGATGCCTCATTATACCCCCTCTTTTTTGGCATTTAAGGTAGAATTGTCCAGCATTAAGGTTAAAACAGAGATAATAAGACTGACAAAACAGACTCTTCGTGGCAATAAGATACAATTATAATCAAGACCTAAGGCCATAGAAGGCAAGGGTTAAGTCATACCCTACAAACCATAAAATCATGGTCAACTGATATAATGTGGCTTACTTTACAACCTGACTCTGGTATAGCATCATACGACAGATAGCAGACCTGAAGGAAATCAAAATATTTTACCCCAAAATATATTTCTTTGAAATGGTCCTGCAAAGCCGTCTTTTGTGGAGGAAGTTCACATCTATACAAAATCTCCATTAACGTAGGCAAGCCTCCCCTTTCTAGGCCTTTCCTGGCTGTAGGAGAGATTAGCTGAGAGTTTGCCACCTTTAAAGGTCTGAAAAGAGACATTCACCATCTATTCGCTGAGGGCTGCTACCCACCAGGCTTTATGTATATAACAAGGGCCTTGGCCCCCACAACTCCCTTATCTTGACTCAAGCATTCCTTTCATCCGACTTCAAGTCTTTAGACAAAGCTAAACTCTTTCAACCAACTGCCAATCAGAAAATCTTCGAATCCACTCTACAGCCTGTAAGCTCCATTTCAAGATGTCCCATCTCTTTAGGCAGAGTCAAAGTATACCTTCCATGTATTGATTGGTGATTTTACCCACAATTCTTGTCTCCCTAAAATGTATGCAAACGAACTGTAATCCAACTGCCTTGGGCACACATTCTTAGTCCAAGACAAGTCATTCATATTGGCTCAGATAAACCCTTTAAAATGTTTTACAGTTTTTTTCTGTTAACAGTAGGAACACAAAGCAGTCAGGTAGAGAGAAAAGTGAGACTAGAGAGAGATCAGGCAGTAGGAAGGGGGGAACATGGAGCAGTCAGTAGGTGAAGAAGGAACACACAAGGGTTGGTCAGGAGACACGAAGGGCAGCCAGGCAGGGAGCAAGAAGAAGAGAGGAGGCAATCAAGCAGGGAGGAAGACAGGAATAGGGTAGTCAGGCCAGGAGGAGGGGTGCACTGGGGGTGATGAGGCAGAGAAGAGGGGAGGAATGTGTGAGGAATGAAAATGAAGCAGTCTCTCAGAGAGAAGAGAGTCATGGGGAATCAGGCAGGGGGACTGAAGGAATGGGGGCTGATAAGGTAAGGAAGTCTCACCTTGGGGTCCCGAGAGTGCTCAGGGCACAGAACCTGAAGCCGCTTACAGTAGCTCTTACTCTGTGGGTTGTAGACATCACAGAAGAGCCGTGTGGTCCTGGAGGGAGGTGGAAAGGAAGGTGCTTGGGGGTCAGGAAGAGGGAGGTCCCACCCTGAACCCTGCCCACACCTTGCCCCAAACCCACCCACCTCTGCCTCTCAGCCCACCCACATCCTGCCCCTGACCTTGTTCACCCTTGCTCCTGACCCTGTCCACGTAATGCCTTTGACCCTGACTAATACCCACACTCACCCCTCAATGCAAGTAGGGTACAGGGACCCAAAGGACGACTGGCGCTCATACTGGGAAGAAAAAGTTCAAACGGGAGGAACTACGGACATCTGCTGCATGCCCTCCCAAGCAACACATCTGTCCCCTGTGGACCCTATACGCCTATCTGCACAGCCAATGCCCCCCTTCACTGTTAGCTAGTGCCCCAACCTTGGCTCTGATACTGGGGATGGGGGAAGAGCACAGATGGTTGGAGTCATGGATGTGTGTTGCATTTCCTCCAACAACAAATACCCAAACCTCCCTCCCTCGGGAGGCACCAAACCTCCCTCCCTAGGACCCCGCCCATGCAGCACTCCATCCAGCCCAAAACACCCTTGCCCCATCTGGCCCCCATCCGATGCTCCAACCTTGACAAAGCAGCGCTCCATGTGGTGCAGGGCGATGCGTATACTGATGGCTTGCCCACAGGAGACACAGAAGATCTGCAGGTCTTTCTGGCCCCTGTCACTTTGGTTGCTCTGCATACGGCAGTGGAGGGGCCAGAGAAGCAGTACAGGGTAGGGATGGGCAGAGAACATGCTAGGTACTGTTATGCTCTACCCCACCCACGCTCTCTCACCTCCTCATCCTCGCACACAGCCTGCTGCTTGCCTCGCAGAATGATAGCTTCAAGTTCATGGAAATGGCACTCCATATCCTTCAGGTGTTTGTGGGTTTCCTTCTGCTCACGGATGATGCGTTCAAGCATCTTCTTGCCATGCTCATCAGCAATACAGGGGCTCATTTGCCACTGCTGAATGCGCTGGGGCAGGATCTCATTGATGCGGCTGGAAGGGAGACAGCAAGAAATGAAATGGATAGGTGGGACATCAAAGAAAGAAGAAATAGATGAGTTGCTGAATGGCGAATGTAGAGGGTATTGAGTGGTGGATGAGTGAATGTTGGTAAATGGGTGACTGAACAGTGTATCGATGGGTAGGTGGATGGAGAGACAGGTGAATAGCTATAAAGGTGGATGAATGGGCTGATGAATGAAATATGGATGGGCGGTTCAATGAGTGGGTGGATGGGTGGCTGGGTGGCTGGGTGGACTTACAGGTGTCATAGATCACACCCTACTTTGTCTCTGGTCCCTTAATCTCCAAGTGCACTCACTCAGCTGCCAGCTTCATGCCACAGTCATCTGAGCAGTACTTGGAGCCTGGTCGGGTGGGATACACACAGCCAGGTCCCAGGCACTGCTGCAGTAAGGCTGGGTCTTTAGCATGTGTCTGCCCTGAGTGTTTCGCCTTCTCAGTGTGCTTCCTTTTCTGCTTCTGTTTCTGCTTCTCCTGTGGGGCAAGAGTAGTCGTGGCAGGATCAGGAGAGTCGATGTCAGCCCCCAACCCCAGCACCCCTGCCCTGCATTCCAACCCTGACCTCTACCTCCATTTCCCTCATTCCATTTGTCATCTTCTGCTCCTCCTTTTTCTTCAAATTCTTCATGTGTTTTGCATTCACTGCCTGCTTCTGCGGTGTGGGTCCAGGGAACGGGGGTTTCTCCATGTCACTCATTCAGGGCTACAGACCAGGAAATACTGACAGGCTCCCACAACTGGTTTCTCAAAATAGTCGTCTTAAGCCACTCCTTGCCTCTTCTTGTCTCACTGCTCAACCTCAAGGCCTTTGTTGTCCCCATCCTTCCACCCCGGGGCCCTGCCACACATTCACCAGGCTTTGATTGCCAAAAATCTGCAAGAGTCCCGTGGTAGAGGGTGCAGTCCCAAGGCAGGTCCTCTTCAGACAACAGCTGGAGTGTGGCTGTTGTCCCAAGTGCCTCCTTTACTGCCACCACCATCATCTGCTACTTCTGGGCCACCCTAGACTTCTACGACTGAGGCAGCTATGAATTGAGCAGTGGTTAGAGCAGGGGTCCTCAAACTTTTAAAACAGGGGGCCAGTTCACTGTCCCTCAGACCGTTGGAGGGGCAGACTACAGTTTTAAAAAAAAACTATGAACAAATTCCTATGCACACTGCACATATCTTATTTTGAAGTGAAAAAACAAAACGGGAACAAACACAATATTTAAAATGAAGAACAAGTAAAGTTAAATCAACAAATTTACCAGTATTTCAGTGGGAACTATGGGCCTGCTGTTGGCTAATGAGATAGTCAATGTCCGGTTCCATATTTGTCACTGTTAGTCGTAACAAGTTAAGGCAGCAAAAACACCCAGTGGGCCGGATAAATGTCCTCAGCGGCCGCATGTGGCCCGCGGGCCGTAGTTTGAGGACCCCTGGGTTAGAGGGACCATGGCAAGGGCTTTGAGGGTGTTACAGCCGAGATCTGATGGAAGGACCCTTAGCATTAATCCTATTCCTCATCTACCTTGCATCCCAGACTCACTAGAGATCAGGGATCACAAGTAGAATTCCTGTGCTAGTGGAAGGAGGACTCTTGATCAGCCCTAAGTGGGTGAGGACAGGTCCACCCTGTCTCAACACTTGGCCTCACCTTCTGGCCAACCTGGCCTGAGGCTACTGCATCTGCATAGACACATTAGGCCCTGCCTGCTTGGGAATGACTGGTACCACCTGGTTCTGCCTGCCCACCTTAACCAGACACATTTGGCTGGTCCACATGGGTGCATCTGGTGCCATCTTGCCTAACTGGATGTATAAGGCCCGGCCTATTCGCCCGGAAAAGCTAAGCCCCACCCCCTTCAGACTTGCTCTGCTCAGCCTGCCTCACCTTTCCTTCAAGACACATATGCTACCCTGCTTGCTGTACACCATGGACCCAGACAAGCTCACTTCTGCCAATCCGCTCAAGCATACTCGGCCCCACCCCTCAGGCATGTTCAGCCCACCCACCCGCATTTCCCAATTCAACTCATCACCTGCCCAGCCCTGCCATCCAGGACATAGTCTTGTCTTACCTTCCCACCCCTATGGGCCCCATACATGGCACCGGAGCATACCCAGTCCCTCCCCCGGACAGGCCGCGCCCCCTGCCCAGAGTCTCTCCCCTTCCTTGACATACATGGCTCTACCTTACCTCTCAATGCTGAGACACGCAAAGAAACACAAACCCTGTCCCCACTCCCCACCTGTACATGCCAGACCGGGCCCTACCTGCCCTGATCCATTCACCTAAAATAATTTGAAAATCTTTATGCTGAAAAACACTCCGACCTGTACCCAATATCACCACTTAAAATATATAAATTTATAAACATAAATATACGTTTGTGTGTGTGTATATATATATCTCACTACTCTCTCGGTGATTAAGAGAGCAAGCGCACACACACACGAAGAATACATGTCTATCAATTGGAGAACTCATACTATCTTCAAGCTAGAGATGCGATATTGATAAAAACAGACCCTGAACTTAGTCTTAAAGGGAGTCTAAACACATTCCAATAAATAAGCATCACACCACCACACAGATAAATTACACTGGAAAACAACAAAAGGCTTAACTTCTGGAAACTGAAAAGGTACACCTAAATAACTTGATTTTTAAAATAACTGAAATCAGAAAGCACTTAGAACTTAACAATCATGAAAACAATACATACTCAACTTGTAGTCTTAGATGGAACTTTAAGCTGAGAACATGAGAAAAGAAGAAAAACGAAAACGAATTACTGATCGGAGCATTCGATTCGGCCGGTTCGACTAAATTTACGGCAGGCCCCCATCGCGACTCCAAAGATCTCCATTATCAACCCCAGAACTGCCTTTAATGACCCTCCTCGCACCCTCCAATTACAAAATACACACTCCCTCATCAAAGCGCTAGCAAAATACCTCAGCGACGGGCGCTAAACCGCGGAGCGGAGCGTAGGTGTCCGGCACTTCCTGTTCCCGGTAACGAACCCACTGGCCCCGCCCCTTTATGAATGTGTCCGGTTTGCGCTGGCTTCAGATCCGCTGGGGGGCTGCTTTCCCGCCCAAAGTTCGAAGAATGCAGCTACCGGTGCGCACTCTGCAGGACGCCACCGGCTTCCGTGGATACATTTGTTTCTTCTGAAGGCAGCTTCACAGTGCTTTACATTTTGAAGGTGTGTGATCATTTCATTCGTGTAGATAGCAGGAAAATTGTTCCTTTTACCATTTCCGATTACTTGGAATAGTTTTGTATTATTATTTTACTATCTACTATTATTATTGCTACTTAGACGGGGTGTCTGTCACCCAGGCTGGAGTGCAGTGGCATGATCACGATTCACCGCAGCCTCAAACTCCTGGGCTCAAGTGACTCGCCTGCCTCAGCTTCCTGGGTAGCTGGGACTACAGGCATGCACCACCACGCCTGGCTATTTTTTTATTTTTTTGTAGAGACAGGGTCTTGCTAAATCGCCAAACTGATCTTGAACTCCTGGGCTCAATCGATCCTCCTACTTCAGCTCCCGAATAGAGATTACAGACTATCTGTTATTATTTCCATTGTAATGTAGGCAATGAAAAAGCCAGACAAAACACGTAAATCATTTTTAGAAAGTAGGAGATTTCTAGAAAACGCAGGAAAATAGAAAACAAAATGTAAGTAAATAGGAATAACTTTACATTTGAAGTTCATACTTTATTTTAAAAATCAGTAATTTTTTAAGTTGTTAGTGAAACAAACTCTCCCATTAAGATTGTCATTTTGGATGAAAATTAACAAATCTAGTCATATATTGTTTATGTCAAACCCAGCAAACCATGGGAATACAGAAAAGTTTGAAATAAAAGGATGGAAGAAAATTTACCAGACACATGCAAATCAAAATAAAGCAAGGCCGGTTGTATTAATAGCAAAATGAAAAAACTGAAACAAAAAGTATAAATTAGGATTGAAAGAGTGATTCCATAATGATTCGATTCATAATGAATATGAAAATTCCAATCTTATATACAATTAATAAAATGGTGTGAAATAAATATAAAGAAAAATATATTAGAACAAAAGGTAAAATAGAAACAAAAATTAGTCTCTTTGTGAAAGATTACAACCATATTGCTTTGCTAATTCTCACTCATTCTTTAAGAGTCTGCTTTGGCATCACAATCTGGAAAGTTCTCTTTGCTTCATTTCCATCTGGGTAACCAGCCTTTCTTTTGAACTTATGGACATAATTATAGTAGCGATGGCTGTTCCTTTGATTTTAATCTTGAAATTGAAAAGAACATATACACGATGAAATATTACACAACCATAAACAACAAAATTATGGTCTTCCAGCAACTTGGATGGATTTAGATTCTATAATACTCAGTGATTTATCACAAAAACAAAGAACTGAGTACCATATGTTCTCACTCATAAGCGGACCCTGAACATTTACCATAATACTATAAGAAAGGGAGCGTAATACCATAATACTATAAGAAAGGGAGCGTAGTACCATAATACTATAAGAAAGGGATTGGCAATAGCTAGAAACTGCGGGGGGTGGGGGGGGCCACATAACATTAATAAAGGTACCTGATCTCAAAACAGGCAAAGTAGGGATCAAAGGTAAGTCCAAACTTTTAACCTGTACGATGACCACTTGTATACCTAATCCTGAATTGTACCCCACATCTTTAAAGTGAAATAAGATTTTAAAGACAATTTTAAAAAAGAAATTAAGAATGAAATGTGAGTATTGCCTGGACCTCTTACACCTGTTTTGTGTCTGTCTTCTTCACTAGGTATGAGGGCAGGGACAATATCGGTCTTGGTCATTGTTAGATGCCCAGTGCCCAGTTTACTGTCTGGCACACAGGAGGCGTCCCGTAGCAACTGGTGATTAATGGAATGAAAAATGGCAAATTACTGTAATCCATCTAGCTCCATATTATTCCTTACGGATAAAAGAAAATATACTTGTAATTTATACTAGAGTTATAATTAACTATTGACAAAGAAAATCAAATTTTAAAAAATCCTAGGATCTTTATATTAAGAAGTTATTTTCCCTGATTCAAGCCTGGCATTTAATGACATTGTCCCCAGCTAAATCTAAATCTTAACAACTTGCATCAAACTCAGTTTAGGGATTGGAACAGGAGGTGAGAAATCTGAACTGAACTCAGAAATATTCTGTGAGTTCTAAAGAAGGTGTTACCTCTCCGTAGCTGTGAAAGTTGGTAAATTTGCAGTGTCCAAGCAAAGATGTGTTTGTACTTTCTTTTGAATTATTTTTTATCACTGTGGCCGCCTCAGATGCATCATCAACAGCTATGCAGTATGGTTGTAATCTTTCACAGAGAATAATTTTTGTTTCTATTTTACTTTTTGTTCTAATATATTTTTCTTTAGGTTTATTTCACACAATTTTATTAATTGTATATAAGATTGGAACTTTCATATTAATTATGAATGGAGTCATTATGGAATGACTCTCTCAATCCCAATTTATACTTTTTGTTTTAGTTTTTTCATTTTGCTATTAATATAACTAGCCTTGCTTTATTTTGATTTGCATGTGTCTGGTAAATTTTCTTCCATCCTTTTATTTATCCTCTTCACCGCAGACTTCAGACCTACTACTTCAAAGTCTCCTTTCCCTTTCTTGCTGTTTTTCT